TGTGAAGCTCATAGTTGAAACGTGAACGGTTTCCAGAAGACGGCGGGTCTCTGGGCAGTACGTGTGGTAGGACTCCAGTCAAGCAGGACACGACGTTGGGGGCTGCATGCACAGCGTGGGGCTGTTTGCTACGTTTTGGAGGCCGGCGTGAGCCGCGTGCACAGAGTGGCCTCCCACCCTTCACACAACCGCGCGGAGCCAGCTTTGCCATATGCAGCCAGAACTGCTGGATGGACAGTCTCGATGGTTTTTTTCAAGTGTAAAGTATTGCAGGAAAAGTTTAAAAAAAAATTTTGCTTTTTGAGTGAGGGAGCGAGCGGGGTGGGGACAGGGCCGGAGTGGAGGGAGGACCCTGAGGGGAGCCCACCCCAGCTTGGCCTCGCGCCCCGACATCACGGCCTGAGCTGCATCAAGAGTCGGGGCTCAACAGCCCACGAGCCGGCAGGTGCCCCGGGAAGAGCCGAATGTATTCTTCTCTGCAAGTGGGAGTTCTCGCCCTCCCCCGACGGCCCTGGCCACCCTCCTGCCGCCCCCCCCAACCCGGGCCCCCCAGGCCGTCAGCCCCACCTCAGCCCAGGTGTCACCTACCCAGCAAGGTCTTCCCCGTGCGGCCCAAGTGGCGCCTTGCAGGCCCGGCTGCAGGGTGTCCCCGCATGTCTCGGGTCACAGCGTCACCCGCTTGTCGTTTGTCCCCCATCCCCAAAGCAGGCCTGGCCGCGGGCTGTGAACAGCTGCCGCTGCCGGGACACACCAGGACACGTTGCCGGGATGGAGCTCCACGCGGTCAGGAGCTGCGAGAGGCAGCCACCCACTGTCACCGGCCTGGGACGCCCGAGTGAGGCCCGGGCGGGTGCTGTGTGGCACAGGAGCAGGGCACCTGGGGAGCCTCACCGTGAGCCTTGGGCCGCTCTGAAAACTAAATCTGCTTTTTAGCAACAACAGCAACCACATACGGTAGCCCAGGTGTTGAGAGGCTCTCAGGGAGGGACGGGAACGCTGTGGGGGCTGCCCCGTGAGCTCGGCCGGGAAGCGGGAGGCGGGAAGCCCATGCCGGCCCTGCGGTGCTCTCCAGCCGGTCCCACCGGCTGCACCCAGGCAATAGGCGACAGTTGAGGGCTGGCCGCGGGGGCTGAAGCCCTGGGGGGCCAGCAGATGCAGCCACGTCCCAGGGCCCACCCAGAACCCCTTCTTCGTGCCAGGTCTGTATCATTAAGGAGCCTAAGTGCAGGGCAGCCCGGGGGGCACAGTGGTTGAGCGCTGCCATCAGCCCAGGGCGTGACCCCGGGGTCCCGGGATGGAGTCCCACATCGGGCTCCCTGCATGGAGCCTGCTTCTCCCTCTGCCTGTGTCTCTGCCTCTCTCTCTCTTTTTCTGTGTCTGTCATGAATAAATAAATAAAATCTTAAAAAAAAAAAAAGACTAAGTCCCGCTGAATGCCGGCGGCTACCCCTGGAGCAGCTTTAAATGATCATGTATTTCTCTTCAGAACCAACCCAACAGCAGTCAGTTATCATCCTGTTTTGCTGATTCCAAACCGCTGGAACCTAAGTTCCGGGAGAATAGTGCTTTTTGTCTCTTTTATTTACTATTATGTTCCCGGGGTCCAGAGCAGCGTTTGGCATATAGCAGGTGCTCAGGAAACATCTGTCGAAAGAACGAATGAACCAATAAACAATTCTGTGAAAAGGGCAGAAATGTAAAAAAAAAAAAAAAAAAAGAAAGAAAGAAAGAAAAGGGCAGAAATTCTGGTACAAGGTAATTATACCAAACTCTGATCTGGGTGGTTCATATTTCTGGGCTATTTGTGTAACATTTCTCTTTTTTAAAGATTTTAATTAACTTATTTTGACAGAGAGAGAGAGAGAGAGAGAGAGAGAGAGCCCAAGCAGGGGGAGCAGCAGAGGCTCAGGGAGAAGCAGGCTCCCCGCTGCTCAGAGAGCCCATGGTGGGGCTCGAGCCCAGGCCCCCGGGATCCTGAGCTGAGCCGAAGGCCGACGCTTAACCCACTGAGCCCCGGTGCCCCGTGTGATAGGCATTCTTGCTGCCCGCTTCCCCCAAGCATCTCTTTCTGAAGGACACGTGGAAGGACTTAAGGAATCCAAGGATGGGCCCACCCCATTGCTGGTAACGCTGACGATCCTGTTGGTATTTCCAACAAAAGTCACTGCATTTGGCTCTTGAAACACCTGTGAGGCAAGTGTCATTACCTCCACTTTGCAGAGGGATGAGAGACACTCTCCCAGTGTCACCGCAGTGATGCTAGATCAGCCTTGACCTGAGCCCTGGTCTTAACGTGTCAAAGCTCCTGCTCGTTCTGGGGCCCCACTCCCACATCTGGAAAATGCCCAGGGGCTCTTAGAGGCCCTCCAGCTTTGTAGTCTGTGACTCTAGGAGCCTGGGGGCGGGGTGTCTGCATCTAAATTGCTACAGCTTTAAAAAGTGCTAAAATAGTATCTTGTTCCTTCTTACAATTGCACAGCTCTTCCAAAATCTGATTGAGGTGCTAAAAAACTCAAGTAAATTGTGAAAAATTTCTCTTTTTATGTAATGCCTGGAAACAGAATACCTTAACAAAGAATGAATTGGTTTTGTGGAGCATGATATCCTCTGAAAGGTCTTCCTTTTTATTTTTTTTATTTTTTATTTTTAAATTTTTATTTATTTATGATAGTCACACACACACACAGAGAGAGAGAGAGAGAGAGAGAGAGAGAGAGAGGCAGAGACACAAGCAGAGGGAGAAGCAGGCTCCATGCACCGGGAGCCCAACGTGGGATTCCATCCCGGGTCTCCAGGATGGCGCCCTAGGCCAAAGGCAGGCGCCAAACCGCTGCGCCACCCAGGGATCCCAAGGTCTTCCTTTTTAAAAAAAAGAAAAAAATTGCCTTGAGAGGGTTTCTTGGAGCTTATCTCAAAACAAAAGACATGGAAGAAAATACAGCAACTTTTCTAGAAATGAAGTCATTTAGAATAAAAATAAATAAATCTGAAATATTTCATCACCTAGTAGCCAAATAAAAAAATCTTTCCAGAAAGAAAAAAGCAAAGCTTGGTCTTCACTTTATTATTTACATGGTAAATTCCCATTCCCTTTGTATGCAAGAGATTTGTATTATTCGCATATCCCTGTCTGTTGAAACGAGTCAATTAAACTGCTTGTTGGGCCAGACAGCCAACAGAGCAAGTTGAGTTTTATGTGCGTTCATACTCCACAGGACATTTTGTTTTGTCTCAAACTTTTTTTTTTTTTTTTTTTTTTTTTTTTGCAGCCACACAGAAATAATCTGCTTTTGGTGTCATGTGAAAAAAAACAACCTTAACACAGAAAAATCTGTATTTGCACATCCTTTTTAGGTTTTATTGTGCTAAAAAGTAGATTCACACAAGCAAAAAAACAAAACAAAGAAACATGCAAAACATTTTTGTGCACACGTCTAACACACTACTTTCCACTTTTGAAATCTGAAAATTAAAAAAAAAAAATTCCAAAGCAAGAGTACTTGGGTTGAAACGCTAACATTATAAAAGCTACATTCCTGACACGAACACTGCAGACACAAGTCACTCCGTTGCAAAAAGTTAAGGTTTCTAAGTGTTACATAAACGTCAACAATGAGGAGACAAGAACTGTAGATCCAACGTGTACTCCCCAGAGGAACTATTAGAAATTGCCTGGTGTCCTAGGACACCCTGATGTTACCTTGAAGTAGATCCCACCTTAACCCCAAAGCTACACCCACCCTGCAAACACCGAGGGAACCCCGTAATCAGAACTACCTCCTTCTCCTGCTGCCTTTAAGATGGTTTTGCCCTTCTTTTGTGTTTTGGTGAATGAGAGTCCCTCGGATCGACACTCGCTCTGAGATGTGGAAAACCCGAATCAGTTAGTGGCCCGATGAAGTCCTCCGGGAGGCCTCCCTTCTCGTTCCATCCGCCAGGTACTTTGAAATGATCGCACGTGCACGCGGGCCCGGCCGTGTGTGCATGAGGCCTTTTAAAAGATATTTTTGGAGACTTAACTCTCAGGAACTTTTCTTCCTTTTCTCGAGACCAGTCCCTGAAAATGTGTTTTTGTTTGTGCTTGAAGAGAAAACCTTTTTTTTTCTTTTTTCCTAGAGCTTTTCTGTACAGCCAGCGACCTCCTTATCCCCGTATATTTGAACTTTCCAAAAATAACAGAATGCTCCAAGGTACTTGTTTGCAAGTCCTGAAAAATCTCAGTCACTCCCGGCAGGTTTTACTGTGTGGTCCTGGAGATGGACTTTCTTACTGCGCCGCAGGTGGAGAAGGGCCCTGTGGTAGGAACACATTTAAGGCCCTCCTGGTGCTCCCTCGGGGACGGCTCCCCCCTTGGGAGGAAGGCCAGGGCCTCCTGCTGCTTCTTAGGGACGCATCCTGCGGCTTCTTTCTCCCTGGGGAGAGGGGACACACTCGGTAGGAAGGCAGACCCTTGGAAGCCTCAGTTCTCAGAAGAAAATATGTTCTAATGCATTCTCCGGAAAACATGCAAAGAGAAAACCCCAAGCAAGAGCGAGGAGAGGGGCGGGGCGTTGGAGGGGCCCGGGGCAATCGCCTGGCACCCCTGGAAGGCCTGCATCCTGTGGGCTCCGTGGGCCCTGGGCTTCCCAGAGGGAGAGGCTGTGCCCCAGCGGCTCCGCTCCAGCTGTGCGGTCGCCGGGCCCCAGGGACGATGCCGCGACAATTTCATGATCTCAACTCTCAGCCCGAGCCGTTGGGCAGGTACGTGGGCCCTGTTCCCTCCCTGTTCCCTCCCGGGGAGGCCAAGCAGGCCCCACCGACACCTGCCTCTAGGGACGCAGGAGTGCGCTCCCCTTCCCAGCCTGGCTTGGGCTGGAGGGCGGGGGGGGGGGGGGGGGCATTCTGTAGAGCATGGGGGTGCTGGAGGGCAGGGGGTGCGGGGGTGTGCTGGAGGGAAGGGGGGGATGGAGGGCAGAGGGGGGCTGGAGGGCAGGGGGCTGGAAGGCGCAGGGGGGTTGCTGGAGGGCAGGGGGTGCTGGAGGGCACGGGGGGGGGCTGGAGGACAGGGGGGCTGGAGGGCATGGGGTGCTGGAGGACAGGGGTGCTGGAGGGCGGGGGGGGTGCTGGAGGGAAGGGGGTGTTGGAGGGCAGAGGGGTGCTGGAGGGCATGGCGGTGGGGGGGTTCCTGGAGGGCAGGGGTCGGGGCTGGAGGGCGGGGTGCTGGAGGGCACCAGGGCGGCTGGAGGGCGTGGGGTGGGGGCTGGAGGGCGGGGGGGGGTGGGTGGGTAGGGCAGCCCAGGGCTGGGGGCGCAGTAGGAGCGCGGCCCCACGGGAGGCAAGACAGACGCCAGAGTCGCCTTGAGATCTCCTCTCACACAGCAAAACAAAACTGGAGAAGCGCAGCTCCACCTCCCCGCACACGTCAGGAAGGAGCTAAGCCTTCTGGGGACACGGGATGTGGGAGACGAGAAGTGCGGTGGCGCAGGGCCCATGGCACAGGGCCCAGGCGGTGTGGGGTGTGGGCCGCAGCCCCCCAGCCCCCTCCCCGGCCCCCCTCCCCGCCCCCTGGGACACCTGCTGGGCCCCAGCCCTGCCTGAGGTCTCCCTCCTGAGGGACAAGGGATGAGGAACGGAACATGCTTCCTTTTTAGGCACCAAGAGCCACCCTTGGCCTTGGCTCTAAATATAGCCAATGGGCGGGTGGCCTGCGGGGGTGGCCTGCGGGGGTGGCCCTGGGGTGGTGGCCTGTGGGGTGGCCTGCGGGGATGGCCCTGCAGTGGCGGCCCTGTGGGGGTAGCCTGCAGTGGCTGCGGTCCGCTCCCCCGCCTGGGAGCACGGCGCCCCGCAGGGTGACCATTGAGTGTCCCTGCAGTCCTTGAAGCCTGCCCCAGCCCAGCGGGGACCTACAGCTGCAGCCGCGGACTCCCTGGAGCTCGGTCAGGCATCTTCATTTGGCTTCTAGACTCAGCTATGCAAGTACGCACTCTGCGTGCAGAAGAAGGACTAAAATCTTACTTCAAAGGGCTCAGTAGCTTCCTGTCTCCCCCTTTCCCCCCAGAAACACCAGCCTCCTCGCTCCTCTGTCGCCGGCAGCAGGCAGCCGGCCTGTCAGGCGCTCCGGGCTCCCTACACATTGATGGCGTGCGCGTGCTTCTTGCACAGGGGCTTGTCCTTCTTGGAGTAGAACGGCTGTCCCTCCAGATTCACGTGGCACACCTGCAAGAGAGCGCGGCATGAGGCACGGCCTACCTCTCCCCGCCCCAAGCCCTGGCGGACTTTCTTTAGATTGTGTTTATTTATTCCTGAGAGACACAGAGAGAGGCAGGGACACAGGCAGGGGGAGGAGCAGGCTCCCTGCGGGGACCCAGAGGCGGGACTCGATCTGCGGGGTCACGACTGGAGCGACTGGAGCGGAAGGCAGATGCTCCCCCACTGAGGCCCCCAGGCACCCCTCACCACTCCAAAGTCTTAATGCCTAAGCAGAGTAGAGGGTCGAACTACAAAAAATTTAAGACTTCCAAAGAGGAGCGGGGAACTAAATTCAAATGAAATTAAATGGAATACACAAAATACAAAAGATGAAGATGATCCATCGATGCTCTCCAAAAGGTACAAGAAACCAATACAAACTCGTGAGTCACTATCCGCAGAGGTGATTAACATCCAAAAAAAAAAAAAATACCGTGAGTAAATGAACAAACCCGTCAGAAAAAATTATCCTCACTAATAATTAAAGGAAAAATAAATCAAAATCTCCGTGAGAGACCACTGGGTATCTGTTAATCTAACAAAATCAAAAAAACAAACAAAACCCCTCAGTCTTTTGTTACCTTTAATGTTACAAGACCGCAGCCAAAGTAAAAGAGGAAAAAAAAATACAAGCAACAGTCAACAATGCCAAGAGGGTCAGTCCTCCTTGCGCCCTGCTAGGAACACAGCCCAGGGAATCGCCCCAATCTCCTGTGGGGGATGCGGCAGCCAGAGGGAGCCCTACCGCACAGGAGGGGTTTATCTTACCAAACCTACTGCATGGGACAAGGTAGGCTCAGGCGCAAAACCAAAAACCACTAAAACGTCTCTCTGCAGGGAGACGATGACGTAAATTCCCGCCGTACGTTGTCCAGTGGGATGCGGTCACGGGAAAGGTCAGTCCAACATGGGAAATGGCATGCGGGGAGATACTACAGGAAACGAAGAGGCAAAGTTATATGTCCCTGTGATGACAACATATGAGGGCAGTTTGAAGATGGCGACATCACAGAAAGAAGAAAACCAAGTAATATTTGTTGAGGTTACGGAGGGTCAGGCAGGAGGCCAGACCCTCTGTCTGCATGATCCCATTAATTCTCACGAAGACGTACGGGAAGGTATGACTTTCCCCCATCTCACAACTGAAAACTGCAGCTCCGAGAGCCAAGTGTCTCGCTGAAGCCACAGACCAGGCAAGTTGGGGAGCTGGGTCTCCAGCTCCAGTTCGATTTCCCCACGCCCCCCAGCAAGAGGGGCTACACTTACTTGAAATTGTTCTGGGCATATGGACATGCACGGAGGTAGCCCTCCACGTTTGCTGGACTACGGGTGTGTAGGCCGGCCCTGGGTGCAGGATAGGCCAAGGTGTCGGAGTCTGCTGGGAAGTCACAGTGGCTGGGATGCGGCCCAGTGTCATAGAGGACACGGAATACACTATACAGGGAGCACAGCTGGGGGCCACAGCCCAGACACTGACATCAGAACAGGTGCAGGAAGGGCCGCTCTTGTGGCTCAGCTAGTGCCCTTGGGCTCAGGGCGTGACCCCGGGGTCCCAGGATCGAGTCCCCGCATCAGGCTCCCTGCAGGGAGTCTCCTTCTCCCTCTGCCTGGGTCTCTGCCTCTCTCTGTGTGTCTCTCAAGAATAAATAGATTAAAAAAAGAAGAAAAAAAAAAGATTCTCTCTCCCTCTCCCTCTGTCCCTCCTCCCTTCTCTGAAAGAGGTGGCAGGGAGAGTTCTCACATACAGAGGCACGAGGATAGACAAATCAGCCTCTCGAGAGGATCTCAGGTCTGCACGTGTGACGGCTCCGAGACAGCTGGAAAGAAAAGTGGTGCCATAGTGGGCCCCTGAGCCAGTGAGAATGCTACGCCTGGGATTACTCAGGGCTGCTGACGGGCCCTGGAAACCAATGACCTAAAACAAGTGACTGAGTGGCGCCTGGGTGGCCCGGTCAGTTAGGTGTCTGCCTTTGGCTCAGGTCGGGATCTTCGGCCCTGGGATCGAGTCCCACATCAGGCTCCTCGCTCAGCAGGGGAGCTGCTTCTCCTCGTCCTCCCCCATCCCTGTTCCTGTGCACGCTCTCTCTCTCTCTCTCTCTCTCAAATAAAGAAATAAAATCTTTAAAACACAGAAGTGGCTGAAAGCATTGCAGGTGGGCGCGGTGATGTTGAGTGTAACCAGGCTCTCGTGGGCTTCAAGCTGCTGGTGAAAACATGAAGTCGACTCCAAGGTCCGACCCTGAGGATGGGCCGGATGGAGACAGGCGGCTCCGGAGTGAGTCGTCAGCTGCCTGAGGACATCTGGGGCTCCGGCAGCGAGACCCCGCCTTGTCTGGGACAACGCTGCCCACTTGTGAGACCTCTGGGGTGAGCTGGAGAGCTACCAGGAGGGTAAAGACCAAGAAGGGAGGACAGGCCAGAGCCTCGGGGATGGCCCATTGATAAGATGGAGCTGAGGGCAGAAAACATCATAGAAAGGTCGGGCTCAATGTCCTGGCTGGGAGACTGGGGGATGCACGGTGGCTTCCTAGTGGAGACCCCCAAACTACTCAGCAGAAGGTCCAACCCGCGGGCTCCGTGGTCTAGTGACATCAGGACCTGGTAGGAAGGAGTAGTGGTCATGGCCAGTGTTGGAAGGCAACGAAACAGAGCAGCGGCCACAGCCTGTGGCACCGCCTGCAGGTCCTCTGCTGCCCTCCTCCCCGATGCCCACACCAGTGGGGACGGGCTGGAGGCCGGGAAGACTCCTGGGAAGAGAGGAGCCCCAGGAAGACACCTCTGACCCGCTGAGATGGGCCCCACATCCCTTCCTTTGGAACTCAAGTTCCAAAGCCAGGCAGGAGCTTAATCCCTCACCCCACTAGACACAGCCCTTCTCAGCCATCATTTTATTTTTTTACTTTTTTTTTTTAATTTTTTTTTACTTTTATTGTTGTTTTTCTTATTGAGAGAGAAGGACAGAGAGAGATAGAGAAAGGGTGAGCAGGGAAGGGGAGAGGGAGAGGGAGAAAGAATCTTCAGCAGGTTCCAGGCTCAGCACAGAGCCTGATGCGAGGCTCAATCTTGCAACCCTGAGATGGTGAGCTGAGCCGAAATCAAGAGTCAGACGCTGAACTGACCGAGCCCGCAGGGGCCCCATCTCAGCCATCATTTTATATGCCTGAGGCTTTAGAGGGGCTGTCTTGTTCTATAATTGCTTGTATGTGCCAACTTTGTTTTCCTTTCAAGATCCAAACTCCTTGATGGTGGAGATTTGTATTTCCCCAAACTCAAGCAATATTTGGTAAATTGAAGTAGCCTCAAGTTGTCTGCTCTCCTGAGATCTGACTTTTGGGAAAACAGCTTATCAGCTGGAAGAGCCAGTTCTGATCTTCCTAAGTCTGTTTGTTTTAGTTATAAGAAAACATATGTTCATCAAAGATGAGTTAGAAATATAAAGTGATGGAAAAGGACTCCCCTTGCTCCTCCCCCCAAAAATCCTCAGTTTTCCCATCAAAAGATTGCCTTCCAAAAATCAAAACCAAAACCATGTTCCTCTTCGGTACATCTCAGCAGGGCAGTGAGTGGCCCAGAGGCCCATCCTAGTGGAAGATGCAGGATTCACCAGGCTGAGTCTCCAAAGGACAGGATCTGCTTGGCTTCCCGGGTAGACCCTTTGGCAGCGCGACAGATCTCTCAGGCCTTTACTGGAACTTGCTTGTAATCATGGCCTGAACAACCCTATGCTCTCCTGCTCCTTCTGGTTTCTCTCTGGGGTTTGTGCCACTGTCAAGCTCAGCCAGACTCAGTGGCACAAGGGAGCAGCCTCAGGCTCACCCTTTGCCATGGTGCCCTCTGCATGTGACATCAGCCTGCCCTGAGAGCACAGACCTTCTGTGCCACGGCCTGCCCTGGACCTTCTCCAAAGTCTCTTGGATCCTTCTAGAAGTTGGGCCACCAGGCTTGCAGGCAGTGTCTTAGCCTCAGACAAGCCACGGCTTGAACGTAGGGGTCGGAGGGCCCTGCGGGCCTCGCTGAGCCACGGCTCTGTAGGGGCAACCCGAAAGCCCGTAAATTTTTTTTTTTTTAAAGATTTATTTTTTTAATTTATTTATTTATGATAGTCACAGAGAGAGAGAGAGAGAGAGAGGCAGAGACAGAAGCAGGCTCCATGCACCAGGAGCCCGATATGGGACTCGATCCCGGGTCTCCAGGATCGCGCCCTGAGCCAAAGGCAGGCGCCAAACCGCTGCGCCACCCAGGGATCCCAAATTTTTTTTTTTTAAAGCCCGTAAATTAACATTGTTGTCCCTCTTCGGTGGGGAGGGCCTGATGTAGGTAAAGGACCCTAAAAGGCCATTAGAAACAAATTTTCCAAAAGCTGGAAAATCAGTGTTTTGACTGAATTGTGCTGTTTCCTCCCCCAAATTCACATGCCGAAGTCCCGACTCCCGGGACCGTCAATCGACTCGGCGCGGGGACACACCGGTGACCTTATCCAGAAGCAGGATCTTTGCAGATATAATTAAGCTGTGAGTTAAGTAAGATGAGCCCTTAATCCAACACGACCAGCGTCCTTATAAGAGGAGAAGCATATAGAGACGGACGCATGGAGACCACCGCGTAAGGACACACGTGCAGTGGGCAGGCCACCGGGTGACCCTGGGGCCAGAGACTGGGGTCCTGCGGCTGTGACTCAAGGAACACGAGGACTGCTGGCAACGGCTGGAAGCTAGGCCCTGCCAACACTCGAAGCTGGACTTCCAGCCTCCAGAACCACCGAGAGCAGCAGCGTTTAGACACTGAAGCCATCAGACTGTGGTCATGTATGTAACCCCAGCCCCGGCAAGCGAAGGCTCAGAGTCAACACGGGGCACCCACCCCATCACCCCCTAAAAGGTGGAGTGTGGCCGTGGCGTGGAGCCCGGAGCGCAGCAGACTTTCTGGCGAGGTGGTCCTCTACCAGAAGTCTATAAAATTGTCCGGTCTAAACCACGTGGATGCCTTAGCCATTGCCACACTTCACCTCGAGCAGCTCTGCTAAAACAAACAGGACAGTCGTCGTCACAGCTCGCTGGTTTTCCCAAGTAAAGTCCAACCGATCACAGACTCACATTACAGGCCTTTCCCAGGGAGGAATAATTCTCGGATCTAAGCAGAGTCTCCATGTCAGTGAACTGACTTCCGTGTCCCCTCTCCAACCCCACCCCTCGCAGGGAAATGCGTCTCACGGGGAAATGACCCGGCCGTTGAGTAGACCTCGACGGCACATGGGTAAGAGTTCATCCTGGGCCCATGTCAAGGCAGCTGCCTGTCATGTCAGGAGCTCACACTACTTAGGAAAGTAAAGGGATGCAGGTTCTATCAAAGGAGACTTCTCTCAGCTTTTCATAGAATGAGTCAACGGGCTCCAATCCAGTGTTTCGGGGTGAAAATCTGGGGGAAAACGCTCAAATCGCTTCATCACATCCACAGCAACTGCTAGGAAACCGAGCATCATTTGCTGCTTCCAACTATGAGGGCCGTGCTGGTGAGGAAGCTGCTGGCTTGAAGATGCTGAGAGGACACCCTGTTTTCCTTAATGGAACGGGGAGCCACAAGGCCACGTTGGTTCCTAAGTAACTATTAGTAATAAAACTCCGCTAGACTGTGACATATGGAGGCGCCAGGGTACCTGCTGGCTCTTAAAAACCATCAGACTATCAGAATGTCACATTGAAAGGATGTGGAGAGCTGACCGCCCGGCCGCACTAGGCCCCTCCTGCCCCTCCTCGGAGAGCAAGAACCCCGGCCAAACACATACTGCGCAGATGAAGCAGGTGTCGTGCCAGGTATGCCCCAGGGCTTCGATGAACTTGTCGCCGGCCTCCACAGGGAAATCACAGCCATGACACTTGGTGCTGAACAGGTTGACGTAGTCTGAAATGAAAGGCAGAGTGAGGACCAGACCTCTGGGCGGGCTGGGAGAAGCATGCTGGCCACGCTGACCCGCTGCCACAGCAATGACGCAGCCCCCCAGTCACCGAGCTGGGGCAACGGGTGGGACCTGCTTGGTTCCTCGTCATCATACAGACAAAATGCTCAGCTACAGGGCTGTGTTCTTTTCCTTGCAATAATTGGCCCTGGGGTCATATGGATTCACGCTTAGTTGGTACTCTGTGCTGGTTTGATTTGCAAACACTTTCCAGATCTCTCATTAACTTTCTACAGGGTGATTTTCTCCTCTTTTCTCTGTCACCCAAACAGACCAATCACCCCAAAAAAGAAAAAAAAAAGATCATGTTTCCCAATAGCTATGCTTAATTTGGAAGGAGAGCCCTTAACATTTTTAGCTGTTAGACAGTATGTTCTTTGCCTGGCGGTTCTTTGGTCATTGGGCATTTGGGTTAATAACAAACTTCCGCTCCTGGAAACAATATTTGAGCTACTGCGTGAAGATGTGCCTCCCCGCCCCACATCACCGAAGCGGTAACAGTACCAAGTACTGTTTGTATGATGCTCTACAGTTTGCCAAGCGTTCCCGCACACATAGCCTCCTCCACCAGCATCTCGATGTCCCGATCTGTGGGTTAGTCAGTCCTAGTTTTCTTCCCACCCTCGACATGGTGCCTGGCACACAAATCAGTACCCGACACATACGTGTGGCCCAAGAGCGTGAATGGATGAACCAGTGAGTCAACAAGCCCATGAATGAACTTAATCTTCTAAAAAAGTCCCTCAGACATTGAACTTTCATTATTTTTCTGTTTTGTCTTGTGGATGAGGAAGCCGAGGCTTGCCAGAGTCACGGAGCTGAGACGCGGTGGGCCGGGTCCCAACTCCAATGCAAGGGCTGTGTTCTCTGGGCCCAGGGGGCAAGCGGCCGACCACTCAGTGCAGAACCTTCCAGATTCCTTCGGAGCAACCGGACGCCTCTCACAAAGCCTTCATTCCCCTCCAGGTGCCCTCGCCTCTCCTCGGCTCTGCCGCCCATGGCCTCCCCTTACGGCTTCCCGTCTCTGCTCCGACCTGTGGGCGGCGTGCGCGCTCGCCACCCCTGCCCGCGAGCCAAGAGGCAGTGTGCCACGGGGACGGTGGGTTTGGGTTCTGAAGAACCAAAGCTCTGAACTCAAGTCCTGGCTCTGTTCAGGAACCGGTCCTTCCAGAGGGAGTTGCCTAACCTCAGTGCCTGTTTCGGCATCTGCAGAATGGGAGCACGAAGCGGTACTCGGGTCCCCGGGCCCTGAGCCGTGGGTTTGCTGTGCGGGCTCGGGAAGGTCACGTATGTGGAGGGACTTGGCACAGGACTCAAAAACGTGGCTCTTACTGTGAATGTCTTTATAAATGACGAAAGGAGGGGAAGAAACGTGGTTCCGGGGCCTACTCGGCCCCAGCCCCATACTAATGCTTTTCTAGGTTTCCCGTTTGATCTTCACTGTGCAAAGATGCATTATTCCCATTTTAAAGACAAGGCAACTGGCCGCAGAGGTTCTATCCCACGGGCAGCACAGGGCCTGAGCTCCCTCCTCTTTCCAGGACTTCCCATGGTCTCTAGCTCTCTGTCTGCCTTTGAGCTCTGATACCTTCCATCTCTCGCCTACTTTTCCTGATGCATGGTTTCCCGGTCTGTGTCTGGCTGGCGTTTGCCATGTGCAAATGCTGTCACAAAGTCAGAGCAGGTTTATGACTCCTCTGTGCTCTGCAGGAGCCGGCGTGGGTGAGAAGCGGGGCCCCGGCCTGCCCCATCTCGGTGGGGTGGAGCCCCGCGCCCCTCCTCAGCCTTCTCGCGCCTCACTCCGGGCCCAGGTGCCCTGGGCTCTCTCCTCTACCTCAGGCCTGTGCAGGATCCAGGCCCGGGCCTGGAAAGCCCTCCCTGCCTTGCCTACCTGGATCTCCCAACCCTTTGGGCCAGGTCTTGCTTCCAGAAAGTCCTCGTCCCCCACCCTACCCAGGACAGCTGAGCTGGCCTTCCTGAAGGCTTCTCTGGGGTTTCCCTGCCTTCTCACCAGATTCGTTCATTCATTCAATCATTATCTCTTAACTATCCATTTATAGGCCAGCATATCGCAGGATAAGGTATCCGCTTGAGGTTTTTGAGGGCAGAGACCCACTCCTAATGCTCAGCGTCTTTCACAGTAACTGGCACACATTTGACGGACACGTGACGAATGGACAAATAAATGATTCGGGAAACCTTATTAATGATTCCTTCTCTCGTTGTGCAGCCTAATAGTAAAGCTCTTACAATGGAACGTCTAGTCTTGCCTGCCGATAGGTTTTTCTGCCTTGTACTTGATTCCGTATGGCCTGGAGAACTGCCACTTTGCTTTAAAATCTGGTAGCACAGGTCTTGATCCTAATACATTTTTTTTAAAGTTCACATATTTCATCATTTACCCCACCCCCTAAAAAATCTGAGAATATAATTGGAATTAAGTTTGTGCCTGTGGCTTCCCCACCATGAGCAAAATCTAGTTCCTCGTGTATTTATTTCTTTATTTCTCCTATTCGGTCTTTGTAATTTTCTTTGACTAACTCACTTATGCCCCAAGTTGAATTCGTACCCTGTAGTTAATGGATTTTATTGCTATTGTAAAAGGGTTTCCATCCATCAAATCACAGGTGCTCTCTCTGTTGAAAAAGGCCTTAGTGCTTTCCAAGAGCGGTGGTTCTCCAACGTTAGGATCACTCCAAGGGCTCACTAAAACACAGATTGCTGGGCCCCACCCATCAGAGTTTCTGATTCAGCAGATCTGGGGTGGGGCCCAAAGATCTGCATTTCTGTGATCCTGATACCGCTGGTCTTGGGATCATACTTTGATTCTCAAACTTAACTGAGTATAGAATCATCTGGGTGGAGGTAGAAGGGTGATGAAATTCTGCAACTGTAGGTCTGGGAATTGACCTTCTATACTTTAAAGCTTCCCAGGTGACCATGATGCCCCATCAGGTCTGGGTGCTGCTCAGGGACAGGCCCATCCGTGAGGGGAGCTGACCTTCCTAGCTCTCTCATTCATGCACAAGGGATCATATGTGACAGTGTCAGCTCATCGTGGTAGTTGACGAAATCTTTTTGAGTCTAGATCCTATCATTCTGCCATTCTCCCTTCTGTCTTTTCTTCCAAGTTGTTGATAAAAATGATGACAAGGTACCACAACGAGACACCACCTCACCCTCATTAGGATGGCTGCTATCAAAAACCCAGTAAAATAGCAAGTGTAGGCAAAGATGGAGCAAAATCGGAACCCCGTGCATGGTTGGTAGGATTGTAAAATGGTGTGAGGCTGTTATGAGCATAGTATGGAGGTTCCTGAAAAACTTAAAAATAGAAATACCATGTGACCCAGCAATCTTACCTTGGGGCGTATACCCCCAAAGAACTGCAAGCAGTTCATAGCAGCATTATTCACAATAGCCCAGAAGTGAAGCAACCAAAATGTCCATCAGATTGGGGGGGGGAGGGGCGGGTGTTACTATGGAGAGGGGCAGTGATGATAGTGGAAATCTATCATTCTTCTGCAAGCCTCAGACACGAATTCTAGAAGTTGTAATGCTTTTAGTCAATTAATAATAGCAATCCGGGTTTTTGTGGGTTTTTTAAAAGGTTTTATTTATTTATTTATTTATTTATTTATTTATTTATTTATTTAGAGAAAGAGCATGAGCAGGGAGGAGGGGCAAAGGAAGGGGGAGAGAGAGAGAATCCCAAGCAGACTGCGCACTGAGCACGGAGCCCAACATGAGGCTTCATCTCATGACCCTGAGATCGTGACCTGAGCTGAAACCAAGAGTCGGATGCTTAACCGACTGAGCCGCCCAGGCTCCCCAGTAACAGAGTCTGTACTGGCATGACGACACAGCTACCAATTATCTGCTAATTACCTAACAATTATCACCACACACTCCCAATAAGGGAAAAGACATTCTTACGTTCTCCGTTTTACAGATATGGAAACTGAGGCACTGAGTGACCAAGTAGCTAAGTCATTCAATGGGTGAGAGCTACAAAGAGATCTCAGCCAAGAAGCTTTTGTCCTACAATCTGTTGCCAGGGGAGAATAGTGTTGCTGCTCTGCTTGCCCCCTGGAGGGGCTGCGGTGTTCTCTCCCTCCTGACTCTCAAGTCTGCAAACTCCCTGTGTTTCTTTCTGCTCTCAGCTTTGCTGCGCAGGCGCCGTTGCTCTGTTTCCCTTCAGCAGCAGCACGCTGGCTTCTCCCTCTTTTACTTGGTGCTGATTTTTTAGTTCGATAGTCTTAACTCCATGTCTAGGCACCTCTGCTGGAATCAGCCTCGCATCCTCTTCCGGGAGAGGCAGTCTAAGGGGCACCTGGGCGGCCCAGTCGGTTTCTGGATTTCGGCTCAGATCATGATCTCAGAATAGTGCCATCAAGCCTGGTGTCCAGCTCCCCCCGGGGGATTCTGCTTCTCTCTCTCTCTCTCCCCCTGCTCCTGCCCCTTCCCCTTCCCCACCCCCCCCCCCACTCAGGCGCTCTTTCTCTCCAAAATAAATAAATAAGTCTTAAAAAAAAATAGGCCGTCTATGAATAAATGAATAAATAAATGAGAAAGTGGCTCATCAGCCAGGACAGCTAATTCTCTAATGGAGTGCTCCCTCTACAATAACTTATTCCAAGTTTTAAGGTAAAATGTAGCATTTTGGGGAACAGAGAAACTCTGAATTCGGGCAGGGAGATTACGAGACTCTGAAGGAACATCAGAGGAGCAGGGAAAGGGATTTTCACGGGCTTGTGCTTGAGGGTTGCCTACTTCCTGGGGTTAGTTCTCACCACACCGCGTGGGGCAGGTGTTTCACAGGCCCCTTTGTACAGATGCGGGCAGCAAGGCTCAGACAAGCTAAGTAACTCGTCCAGGGTCACAGAGCCAGCCTAGGGTGGAGCCTGAACGGAACCTAAAACGAAGTCCAGAGTCACAGCCTTTTCAAACTCCAGATCAAAATCATCTGGAAGGTTTCCCAGGTGGTTGCAAGATGCCAATGTGTGACCCACATATTTGGTGCAGAGAAGGGAACGGAGATTGAGCGTGCAAAAAAAGAGATGAAGAAGGCGGTGCTACGGGCCTGGCCCCCGCCCAGCAAAGCCCGATTCTGCTGCTGGGAGCCTCCTAAGGGTGCCCCGGAGTGCGTGCAGGCAGGGGTCCCCGTGCCGCCGCCCCCCCACGTGGGGCCTCCCCCAGGCACCGCGGTCCTACCTTTCTCACAGTAGGGCTCCCCGTCTTCCATGTGGAAGAGGCTGTTCCCGAAGGGCTTTTTGCAAGCTGCGCAGACGAAGCAGGTGGTGTGCCAAGTCTGCCGCAAGGCGTGCATCACTTCCTGGGGGAGAGCCTCAGCTCAGGCTGGGAGGCTGGGGGCAGCGGGAGCTGGGCGCCCTCGGCCTCCGCGGCCGCGTCCCGTCGGGGAGCAGGGCAGGTGAGCCCGGGAAGGGGGCCCCGGATGTGCGGAACCCAGGCCCGGAGGGCAGGGAGCTCACACTCGGGTAGCGCTTGCTGGGGACCGGGTTCTTTGACCAAAGCACCCTCGAGGCAGTTAGGGAAGCTGTGATTCGCCCAGCTTTGCCAGGAGGGAGCGGCTGCCAATGGGGGCCGAGCCACCTGGGCATGGCGGGGTCACCGAAGGCAGCCTGTAAATGGACGACTTGCTTTGCGGCAAGGGCCCCGGCACCCAGTCACCTCTGCCCCTGCGCTCCTGGGGCACAGCACCCACCCCTGCCCAGGACAGCAAGCGGCTCTCGCCGTCAGCCACTTCCTCCTCCTAGCTTCCCAATGGGGCCCCACGGAGGGGGTGGACGGGCAAAGACCAGGGTCGGGGGAGGGGTGCCACCCACTTACCCCCATGATTTTGGTGTTGCACTTGGCGCAGATTGGAGCAAAGAACTGCTCATAACAGCGCTCGCAGTAAACGTTGCTCTGCTCCTCCACGAAGCACACGTCCGCCAGGGAGGTCTTGCAGTAGGCGCAGTTGAACTCCTCCGGGTGCCAGGAACGGCCCATGGCTACCAGAAAGGGGCCCCTGGGGGAGCGGGGAACGGCACCTGTCAGGCACCCCGAAAGACTGGGGCCAGAGATTCTGGACCCCCAGCAGCGTGCAGACTTTGGCCCGATGACCCTGACTTTGTGACCGTTCTAATGAGCAAATGTGAAGTTTGGAAAAAGCTCTATGCAAACCGAGATTCATCGTTGCATCAATAACAATAAAGAGACAGTGGGGAGGGACTCCGGTATCTGCCGGTGGGGGGCGGGAGGCACGGGTACCCCGTCCTTCAGTGGACAGCCAATGACCGATGATCCACCGAGGAGGGCTCCCCTGCCCCGTGCGGCTTAAGAAGAAACGCGCCTTTGCCAGTTTGTTTAGCCTCATAAGAACTCTAACAGGTAGGACTGTGGTCCCCACTTTCAGATAAGGAGGCTGAGGCACAGAAAGGCGAGGTCAGCTGTTCAAGGCCGCAGACCCCGGGCACAGCCTGGGCAGCCCGGCTCTGGCCTAGCAGCCGAGCAGTGAGACTATGAGACGTTTTGCATTTTAAGTTTTACTTTTCTGAACTCTCTACGTCCGTGAAAGGACTGGGCTTCCTTCCAGGGTGGCTGCTGCCTGCCTCAGGCCTGAGCAGCCCTGGACTGTCCGGGAAAGACCCAGGGGCAACCCTAAGGGAAAGCTGGGTCAAGGCCAGCACCACCTGCCGGCTTGCAGCATGCCCACCAGACCCACCAACAGCAAGACCCGGGGTCCCCGAACCCGGCCTTGGCCCGGGGGCGGCCCTGGTGCCCGGCAGCCTGCTGGGAGCTTCCCCCGCTTACCTCATGCAGTCATCCCGACTCCCCAGGGACGTGGGTGTCCCACGGGTGTGGAAGCTGGAGCCCCAACGGAGCCAGACAAGCTGGCGAACCGGGGGAGGCTGAGGCCGCCAGTGGGCAGCCTTCGTGTCCCCCCCCGCCCCCCAGGGCTCAGGGCACAGCTGACCGTACCTGATGACGTTGTTGCAGTGGCCGCAGAGCGGGGTCCTGCTGCTGGCCGGGAAGCGCTCCGCCCGCTGCACGATGCCCCTGGCCAGGGGGGACACTTGGGGCCCGGGGGGGCCGTAGGTGGGGGCCCCTCGCGGCAGGGTCTGTCTGCTGGCCGAGCTGCTGCTCTTGCCGGGGGCAAACTTCTGAGAGAAGCTGTCGTCCGCCACCCACGGGGGACGGCTGGCCGACTCCACAGGGCCGCCACCGTAGGCCGTGGACGGCGTGGGGCTGTAGCCCGGGCCCGGGGCCGGCGAGGGGGTGTAGGGAGCTGGGCTGTAGCTGGGCCCCGGGGAGGGGCTGTAGGTCGCCGCGGGAACTGCCAAGCCAAAAACAGCCCAAGAAAAGCGCATCAGGAATTCCTTTCCCCCGTGCCCACCCTGGCCAGGGCCCCGGAATGGAGGCCTGTGACCTGCCGCCCAATCCCCGTGTTTGTGGAGGACGCGGTCCCCAACCTCTGGACGCCCAGTGCTGGACCCGGGAGCCCGCATGGGCTGGAAAGGGACGTCAAGTCTCCGGAGGCGCCACCAGAGGCCTGCAGGTTGCGGGGAGCGGGCCCGGCGCTCCTAGGTCCCCCGGCTGGGCTGGGCCTGGAGCCGGGCAGCGTGGCCTTGACCCCAAGTGCTCTTGGTTGCACCCTGACAGGCAGCGGGACACCCGAAGTGCCTCAGGCCCGTTCACTTGCTGAACCGGGACCTATTCCAGCCCTTGGGACAAAGGGGTGGTTGGATTTTTGGGTTCAGGTTTCACGTTTAGCCATAATCATCAGCTCAATTTGTACTGGGGGGAGCATTTCACCTTGGTTTGATCAGGGTGGGGGGTCTGAACCATTCAGAGGGAGCCTGCGCACAGGGGCTGGGGTGACACAGATTGTCTGGCTGCCTCTGGGAGCCCCTGCTCCCCGACATGGCTTTGGGGGGCACAGAGTAGGCCTGGGCAGCTGCGAGGACATCACCGTGAAGTCAGAGCACAGGACAATGTGCTGCGTCCCTTCTGGAACCCCTTCCTGCAGCTTTCCCAGAGCTGAAAATTCTTTTGGGGTGACGACACAGAGGAGCACTGCAGCTGCTCACCCGAGGCCCTCCGAGGCCCAGGCCCTCAAAACGCAGGCTTTGAGGTTCTGCCTCCTCCCACGTGGAGCCTGCACGCACATTCCAGCCAGGGAGGTTCCAGAAACCTCACCTGCCGTCCTGGGGGAAGCGTGTTGGGGCAGCTTCCCTCCATTCCCGAGCCTGCCCCTGTGGCTGCATACGCCGAGGGGTGCTGAGACAGACCCCTCGGTGTCCGGCTGGGAAGGAAGGTCTTGCTCAGGGGCTCACGTCCCCCCTGCCTCTGTCTCTCCCACCTGGCCCTCCTGACCACCTGGGGTGGCCTGTGGCCAAATGCTCTCCTCCCAGATGACTGGCCCTTCAGAGCCAGGTAACACAGGAACCAGTGCTGTGGGTGGGTGGATGGTGGGTGGATGGGTGGGGAGCGGGAGGGGTAAGTCCTCCAGGCCCCGCACTGGGGCCATCCTGGGAGCGATGCTGGCTTCGGAAGGTCACACCCTGTCTGTGAGGAATCCATCTTCTTCCCACTTACTAAGGGAGTGGCTGGGCTCCTACCAGGTCACCGGGCTAGTCTCCTGAACGGTGAGGTCACTGGGGGGCAGACAGAGCCAGTAAGTGGCAGAGTGAGTCTCCAAAACCATTCCTTTGCCACAAGCTGCCTCTGTAAAGATGAGTCTAATTTCCAGAAAATCTTGCTGCACCATGTCATTGAAGAGTAACGACCAACTTGGAGGACATCCTACGCACCGGCATCTGCGCAGCACAGCCCTAGGTCGGGGCCCAGAGCTACTGTGCCCTGGCCGTGTGTCCTTGGGGAAGTCCCTTACCCTCTCTGGGCCAGAATGTCCTTCTTTAAAAATGGCATTAATCATTCTTAGTACCTTGGGGGGTTATCATAAGGATTCGAGGGAACAAGGAATATAAAGTGCTTAGCCCAGTGCCTGGCACAGTGCATCACTTCACGTTAGTGAGGACAGTGACTCTGGGTCACCGGGTCTCTGGGCCTGGGTGGACTGTGAGCTCATCTAACTGCCTGATGGGCACCTGAGGGAACCGGTCCAGGGAGACTGAGGGGTGTTGGGGGTGGGGATGCGAGATGCGACATCCTGAACTCAGATAACCTGGGACTGAGTCTGTGGCCAGAGGTAGGAAGCATGATGCCCCTGCGTGCCTCAAAGGGAGTGGCAGGGACCTCCTGGAAGGACATGATGCATGCACTCTGCAAATATGGGAGGCCTAAAGTCGAAGCGTCAACACCCTTCCTAACAACCTTGTGTAGCACCCAAGTGCCCAGAGTAGGGGTTCTCAAAGTGCTAGCGGCAGGGGTGATGAGAGGAATGCCAGCAAGGAAACGGTGTGGGGATAGCTGATCTAGTAGAATTTCAGTGCAGCTTCATTCCTCTCTTTTACACATAATGGGGTCCTAAGCAAGATTTTGTCCCCTACTCCTTTGCTTTGTAAAGTGGGGGATCTCGGCGGAAAGGGATTAAGAACAAAGCCCCAATCCTGTGCCACTGCACAGCCCTCTGTGGCCAGTAAACTCTTGAGATGTGGCGAGTCCAAATGGAGACGTGCTACAAATATAAAACACACGCCAGATTTCAGGGCTTGGCTAGTGTAATGCTACAAAATGCCTCATTAATAATTATTTTATATTGATCATATATTAAAATGACGCTTTAAAGATATTGAGTTAAATAAAATGTCAACATTATTTTCACCTGCTTCCTTTTCCCTTAAAAATGTGGCTCACCAGGAAATCTGTTTTTACTGGGGCTGCCACCCTCATCAGCACAGCGGCCACCTGGTCTCGCTGCACGCAATGCTCGCTGCGACCCGTGAGGCCCGGGGTGCTTTCCAGCTGGTTCTGCAGCCGGAGGAGCGGAGCTGGGTGGGGAGCCTGGGTGACACCACAAGGTTTGGGGCTCCGATGTCCTGCTTAACCGCAGAACAGGCCGAGTATGCCCCTTCTAAATCGGGCCCTTGCCCACTTTCCTGCTTCCCTCCAGCAACGCGATCCTGTTCCCTCTGCAGGGCAGATTGTCCGCCCCCTCCGGAAGGCCTTCTGGGCTCCCCGGGCCAGCCTGGTCTGCACACCCCCAGCCCCCAGGGCTCAGCGGGTTGGAGGCCTGCGGACTTGGGCCCTGCTGGGGCGCGCTAGGGACCTCGGGTCCCGCTGTGCTGTGCTAGGGACCTCAGGTCCCACTGGGCTGTGCTAGGGGCCTTGGGTCCTGCTGGGGCTGCGGGTAGGGACCTCGGGCCCCCGCTGGGGCTGCGGGTAGGGACCTTGGGTCCTGCTGGGGCTGCGGGTAGAGTCCTCCGGCTGTGCTGGGCCGCACTAGGGACCTCGGGCCCCGCCGTGGCTGCGGGTAGGGCCGGAGGAGGGTAGGGCAGGAGCAGCGGCCGCCCCCCCCCCCCCCGTGGCCTCCGCGCCCTTCCCGCCCCTGCCCGCGCCAGCAGCCGCTCCGCATCCCATCTCCCATCTCCCATCTCCCATCTCCCACCTCCCATCTCCGGGCCGGGGCTGTTGCTATTTCTACCCGACGGGCTGAGGCCCGGCTAAATTAGAAGGTGCGGGTCCATCTCTAATTGGCAAGTTCAAAAGGCCCCTATCGCACTCGGGGGCCGCGGGGATGTGTAATTAAACAAGGTGATTTCCGACTCCTTCCAGGTCGGGCCTGCCCCTCCCCCCGCCCCTCCCCTTGCTCCCCCCCCGCGCCCCAGGTGCTCCCCCTCCCCTCCCCCTGCTCTCCCCCCCCCGCCCCAGGTGCTCCCCCTCCCCCTGCTCTCCCCCCCCGCCCCACGTGCTCCCCCTCCCCTCCCCCTGCTCTCCCCCCCCCGCCCCAGGTGCTCCCCCTCCCCTCCCCCTGCTCTCCCCCCCCCCCCCGCCCCAGGTGCTCCGCCGGGCGCCGCGCAGGCGCGGAGGAGGCCGGCGGGGTCGGGGGAGGGCGGGAGTGGCCCGGCCCGCGTCCCCGCGTCTCCCCGGGCCGCCTGCCAGCCGCCGGGCTCTCGGGACAGGGGACAGGGGCGGCGGCCGGGCGCCTCCTCCCCCGCGGGCGGGCGTGAGTTCACGTCTGCGCGGCCGCGGAGCCGCGGAGGGAGGGGCGGCCTGCGCCCGGCCCGGGGAGGAGGGGGCGGCGCGGGCCGCGCGTCTTCGGAGCCCTGCCGCCCCCTGGTGGATCCGCAGCCGACAGCCCGCGCCCGGGGCCGCCCCAAGGTGTCCCCGAGGCCTCGCCCGCGCAGGGAGCCGCGCCCCGCCGCGCCGAAACGCACCTGCTCCTGCGCGGGCGGGGGGGGGGGGCGGTGCAGAGCCTCACCTGCACAGGAGGAGTGTGTGTGCAGAGCCTCACCTGCACGGGGGAGTGTGTGTGTGCAGAGCCTCACCTGCACTGGGGAGTGTGTGTGTGCAGAGCTTCACCTGCACGGGGGGGGGGGGGTGCAGAGCCTCACCTGCACGGGGGAGTGTGTGTGTGCAGAGCTTCACCTGCACGGGGGGGGGTGCAGAGCCTCACCTGCACGGGGGAGTGTGTGTGTGCAGAGCTTCACCTGCACGGGGGGGGGTGCAGAGCCTCACCTGCACGGGGGAGTGTGTGTGTGCAGAGCTTCACCTGCACGGGGGGGGGGGTGCAGAGCCTCACCTGCACAGGAGGAGTGTGTGTGCAGAGCCTCACCTGCACGGGGGAGTGTGTGTGTGCAGAGCTTCACCTGCACGGGGGGGGGGGGGTGCAGAGCCTCGCCTGCACGGGGGGGGGGGTGCAGAGCCTCACCTGCACAGGGGGTGTGTGTGTGCAGAGCCTCACCTGCACGGGTGTGTGTGTGTGTGTGCAGAGCCTCACCTGCACCTGGGGGGGTCCAGAGCCTCACTTGCACGGGGGGGTGCAGAGCCTCACCTGCACGGGGGTGTGTTTGTGCAGAGCCTCACCTGCACTGGTGTGTGTGTGTGTGTGTGTGTGTGTGTGTGTGTGTGCAGAGCCTCACCTGCACCTGGGGGGGTGCAGAGCCTCACTTGCACGGGGGGGGGCGGGTGCAGAGCCTCACCTGCAAGGGGGGGGTGCAGAGCCTCACCTGCACGGGTGTGTGTGTGTGTGCAGAGCCTCACCTGCACCTGGGGGGGGTGCAGAGCCTCACTTGCATGGGGGGGGAGGGGTGCAGAGCCTCACCTGCACCGGGGGTGTGTGTGTGCAGAGCCTCACCTGCACCCGGGGGGGGGGCGCAGCTTCACCTGCACCCGCTGGGCTCACCGGAACTCCTCCCCACCCTCTTTCCCCTGGCCCCAGCCTCAAAGGGCAGCCGTGTCCTCCTCCCTGGCTCCCTGGGAGATCGTCCCCCATCACAGCCAGCTCCGAATTGCTCCCTAATCCTGTGGATTTGGAACCTCAGAACTTGGAGTCCCTGCCTCCCCAAGGACAGGGGAGGACACCTCCCGGGTGCCAGGTGCTGGGCCGCATGCTTCATTTCATCCCCAGAACACGAGGTCTTCGTAGCTTCCTACCCATTTTTCCAGAGCTGGGAATTCAGGCGGCAGGGATGAGGTGCTCCACCCAGGTGGGTGTGGGTGTGAGGCCCACTCAGGAGCCGGTGTGATGCTGAAGTGGCCCCTCCGCCCTGCCGTCTGGGTGAGGGCCCCCGCGGCCCCCCGCAAACACCCAGGCAAGCTATCTGCAGTTGAGGCCCTTGCTGCCCAGTCCCCAGCTGCCCCCCACATCGGCTCTTCAGCTCCCCTGGGGTCTCTCATTGTCCCTAAGAACTCCTGTCTGCCTCTGCTGTTTCCTTTACCTCATCACTTCTTGATCAACTCTCCCTCTCTTGCAATACACAGAGAAGCCCCGTCCCTGTCCCCATTCTTCCCCAAACGAGTCATCAGCGTCCTCACCCCACCACTGTTACCATAGGTAAGCAGAGTGCGTGTATAATAATTTGGGAGGGGGTGGAGAACAGTGGGAACACTACTGCAGGAGGAAGACGCCACCGTGCCCTTGTATTCAGGGTGGCCCTAAGAGAAAGTGTAATGTTCTCCACGAGAAGTGTGCCCGCACCTCAAATCCTATCTCAGCCACCCATGGAACTCGCACCAGGGTCGCCCTGGGAGCCCTTGTGACCACGGCCCATGTGTTTGGCCACTGGAGGGCACGGTTCACAGCCTCTCCTCGTGCCACTCCTTCCCCCCGACATGGATTCCTTGCCGGCGCGTCCACACACTCATTTATACCTTTACTCACGACCTGTGCTGAGCAGGCCGAGTCCTACGCCTGGGTCGGGTGCGGGGCGTACAGGGAAGAAAACCTGCTGCAGCCCTCACTGCCTTCCTGGGAAGGAGGGGCCGGTGCGGTCCCCAGCAGCGGCCGAGATGCCCACAGCCCTCCTGTGACACACCCATAGGCCAGGCACGCACGCCCCCTGCCAGCAGGGGACATACCAGCTACAGGGCTCTCAGCTGTGCTGCGGGGGACGGGGGCAGGGGTGCAAGCCACATTAGAATTGCCCTCGGGCTCTGGGGAGCCTCCAGGCCGAGTCCTCACGCCTGTGAGGGGCCGGGCAGTGATGCAATAGGGACCAGAGCAACAGAGCCACGGCCAAGTGAGCTTGGCTGGCCCTGTGCTGGGTCACCGCTGCTGATGGCGTCCCCCCTGCGCCCCCAGCACCCTGCCTCAGCGCAGGAAACCAGCACCAGGCAGGATGCGCATCAGGGCTGCAGAACACTGCGGCATTTTCACTGCACCTGCAGCTGCACCTTGCAGCTCTCACCGGCCCCACACTCCTGGAGGAGCTAGCTCCTGCCCTGAACCCTGGAGTCCTTCACCTTGAGCCTGGAGATGCCCAGCCAGGAACCCTACCGTCCTAGAGCTGGGCGGCGTTGTCCCTGGCTGCCACCTCCTCCCCAGGACCAGAGGCAGGCTCCAAGGACTCTGGCCCACACTGGGGGCGGGGGGTGGGGGCGGCTCGGAGCCTCATTAGCAGGGCGCCTGTGGCCACGAACACTCTGGGATGTGGCCGAGCAGCCACGTCCAGCCTGACCTCATGGCCTCCCCTCCCTTCTGCCTCTCACCTGGCTGGTAGACAGAAGGCCGGATGCTGGCGGTGGTGACAACCCGGGGCTTGGGCGCAGGGGCAGCTGAGGCCTCACTGTATGTATGAGAGGCGGGTGCTGGAGAGGTCGCCTTGGCCGGGCTGTAGGCAGAGGCCTGGGGCCTGAAACCAAGGGGGGAGGAGTTAGCAGCCAGAAGGACAGCCCCACCCAGGCCCTGGGGCCTGCAGCCCTGGCCCGGCTCCCCCATCTTCAGGAGCCCCTGCGAGGAGGAAGCCTGACAGAGGTCACTGGGGAGCTGCCCGAGATCGTGAAGGAAAGACCCTAGTGGCCTTGGAGGCGGGGGGAGCTGCTTGCAAGTCTGGTTAGAACATACAGTCCCCTGCTGGTGCCGCCACCTGGGGAGGAGTCACCAGCCACACGGGGGACATATGGAGGAAGCCCCTGACTCCCTGGGGAGCCAGGTGGGGCTGGGCCGAGCAGGAGCCGGCGAGGGGGGGCAGAAGGGGGGAGCTGCCCCCATCCCTCAGCCTTTGGACCTTCTGGGGCACAGCCACTGACCCCCATTCCCCTTCCTGCTGTTGCTGGAGGGAGCCAGCAGGCCTCAGGTCTGGGTGCTCCAGGGAGGGCTCCTGGGAAGCCGGGGACCCCCATCCCCAACACACACACACAAGTACATGCAGAGGCTTCTCTGCACAGAGTTGGCCTCTTCCCACGGAGTTGGCGGCCAAAGGCTCTGAGCAGCCTCTTGCCCCTTATGACCCAGGAACCATGGGATCTCAGGGCCGGGGTGGGGGTAGGGGGGAATGTGCCCCAGTTCGTCACCCGCCCTCAGGAAATGCCATACTGGGCCCCTCCCCTCGGAGAGCTAAAGGCTGCAAGAACTGGGGTGAAGCAGTGTGTGCAACTTCATCTCATTCCCAGTTCCACTCGTCAGTGAACAAGCCCCCCCCACCCCCGCCCTTTTTAAAATTTAAAACAGAAGGACACCTTATAAGCACGCCCTTGGTCTCTCCCTACATCTTTCAGATCCCGTTGGGGACCACAGGTGCACACCCTGGGCAAATGGGGCCTTGATGGGGATGCTAGTGACCCCCCCTCCCCTGCCGCCAGCCCATGGCTTCCGCCTTCCTTCCAACTGCTCCCCACGGGCTGGGGCGCTGGGCAGAGTCAGTGGGTCAGGAGCCACCTTCTTCCCCAGGAGGGGTGGCCCTGGCTTAGATCCCACTGCCAAGCTCCTGAGTGGATCCACAAGGGCGTGCGGAGCCCCCGATGGTACAGAGTAGAAGCAGCCCTGAGGCCCATGTCCCAGGCTGCGGGGAGCACACTTACCGTGCCCAGTTACCTCTCCTGGTGGGGCCGGGCCGTTGTCTCCCCTCCCTGAGCCTGCCTGCCCTGCTCTGCCCAAACAAGTGCAGGAGGGGCCTTACTGGAGGGGGCAGCACCGAGGGGTGCTCAGCTCCCACGGAGGCAGGAGGAGGCTGGGGGTCAGGGAGCTTAGCCACTCTCCGTCGTGGAGGAAGCTTTGCCAGTACCCCGGCAGCCACAGGTCCTGTGTCAGGGGTTGGCACTGGGGAAGGAGGCAAGGATGGAGGCGAGTCCCCATGCCCCCCACGGGCTCCCGGGGCATGGTCCCTTCTGCCCCACACAACGCTGGAGCTGCCCCCTGAGCCGGGCCGGCATCTGGAGCTTCTCCATCCGACTGGGGCGCATCTGTGCACCTGCTCACATAACAAGACATTCCTTACCCCCGCGAGCTTTCTTCCGTGTGTCCTTACCTGGAGAGACTCGTGTGCAGGGGGCAAGGGACGCGCTAAGGGACCCCAGGAAGCTGGAATCCAACAGCCCCTTGGAAGCCCAGGCGGGCTCCCCCTGAGGCTGGAGTGGGGCTGAGCAGCACCGGGTCCTCGTGGAGCTGGGGGGGGGCGTGGCACACAGGCCCACGGGCCACTCTGCCCACCTGCCGTCCTGCCTCCAGCCGCGCCAGGGACCTCTGAACCCCGCCCCAGGGAACCCTGGACCTTGGCAGCGAGACCCTGGGAGGGGAGCACGGGACACTGGGAAAGCAGCTTGACAGCTCGAGGTGCCCACAGAGGGTCGTCCGTCTGGCAGCAACCCCACGACCCCCACCCCCACCCCACGCCCCAGCCTCGACTGGGAATGCAGGAGGTCAGACTGAAATGCGGCAGCTCCCGACACTCAGGACACTCTGCGGGCCAGGGGGTTTGTGCCCACTGTGTCCCCATCCTTAAACACAGATGTTGCGTCAACGTCTTAGCAGATGAGAAACTGAGCTTCAGAGAAAGTAAGTCATTTTCTGTAGATTAGAGGTGGTAAGTGGAGCAGAGATTTAAGTCGCACGTCAGGTGCCTCTGGTGTCGCTCGCTCTCTATCAAGACAGCAGAGAGGGTGAAGGAAGAGGGCGCGCCAGTCACTAAGTATCTGCCCAGACCTGACCCACTTTACATGGTCGGGTCAACACTGCCTCTGCTGCCTCCTCCAGGGAGCCTCCCTTGACTTCCCCAGGCCATAGGGACAGTTGCCATTCTTCCCTTTATCCGGGTGGTTCGGGGCCTCTCTTTATTATCTAACTGTGTGTGTCTGTGTGTGTGTGTGTGAGAGAGAGAGAGAGAGATAGAAGGAGAGACAGAGGTAGAGGGAGAGAGGGGGAGACTTTGCCCCCGTCTTCAGAACACGTGCTGGACGCAGGGCAGCACAGCCCCGGCCCCGCACTGAGCCCCGCAGTGACTCCCAGTCTCCCCTTCGCTCTCAGGACCAGCCGCGCTGGGTCTGGCCCCCCAAGGACCCTGGGGGCCTCGCCGCCTTGGACCCAGCAGCCAAGGGGTGGACGTGGGCAAGGCCTCTCCTGCCTCCCGGCAGAGGGCACGGCGGGCACCGTGGGCAGTTACCTCGGGCTGTCCGCAGGGCTGGAGGTGGGGGTGGCGGTGGCGGCACGGGCAGCGGCTGTGCTCGGGGGTGGCGAGGCTGCACTGCGGGGGGCGGCAGCGGGCGGCTGGGCAGAAGCGGGCAGCAGCGGGGTGGCAGCCTGGCTGGTGCACACTGGAGCATGCTCAGTGGGGGTGCTGATGAGGCGGGACCAAGAAAGACAACAGGTCAAGGGGGCCCCCGGCATGAGGGGTTGGGGGCTGCGGCAGAGGCAGGCTGGGCGGAAGGCACCATCCACACTGCAAATGGAGTAGAATCTTCTGGAAGGCGTGTTTCCGGCTTCAGGAGAAAGCTCCCAAGGGCCCAAGAAGGAAGGGTGGCAAGCACTTGGGGGACCTCAGGACCACCAGAAATGGTCTCCAGCCTGGCGAGTCCCCCCCAGTTTCTGGGTACGTCCTAATTCATCCTTCTCGGTCTATACTGTGTCTATACTGTGAAGATACAGCGTGGTGGGAAAGCGGACTGCAGTGCCACCCGGGGCTCCGCGCCCACCCGTCTTCCTGCCCCTGCCTGTGTGGGCGCTACAGGCACAATGTGGGCCTGAGTGTGCCCGGAGGTGGATGGACGCGGGCGGCCAGGTCGACGGCACCTGGACCAGAGGGGCGGCGGGGGGATTCCAGAGGACAGGCAGCCGTGTCCCCGACTGGGAGAAGCCCCGGGGTCTCCCACCTGTGCTGGCTGCGGTCTGGCCAGCAGACCCAGGCAGCCCAAGGATCCCCAGGCCCTGGGGGGCCTAGGGGCTGGGAGGCTGCCCCACGTCCCCAAGGGACGGGCACATGTGGGCCCTGCAGTGGGGACGGAGAGGTGCTGCGCTGCCAGCGTGGACAGGCTGCCCGGGGGGGGGGGACGTCCCAGCAAAGGGCGCCAGCAGCCGGGGACCAGGTGCCCACAGGCCCACCCACTCCCGGGCTCCTGTAAGAGCTTGTCCTCTTGGCCAGGCCGGGCACAGGAGAGCGTCGGAGCCTGTGGCGACGGGACTGGGCTCCTGCCATCCGCTCGGCAGGGCACCATAAAGATGCAGTTACGGGAAAGCAAAGAAATGCACGTTCTCTGCTCACGAGAGTCTCTGCACAAAGACTTGTAGTTGCTGCAGTAGCAGCAGGACACACAGCTCCGGCAGGCGGACGAGACTGCCCAGGTGCCTGAGTCACTGGTCCTGCTCCTACCACCTGCCAGGCACGCGCGCGTCCTTCGTCCTCACAGCAACCCCCGGTTACGGACTGTTTCACCCGCTAGGGAGTGGAGGCCGAGGCAAGGCAATCGTGCAACCTGAGCCCGTACTGGTGTTGCCTGCAGGATCCCAGTGACGTGCAGTAGTCGGGGGCCTTACCCAGTGCCCCACGCGGAGCCTCAGGGAGAAAGAAACTTCTTGTGATTAGCGAAGCAGACTCTTTGCCCAACAAAACACACTCTTCCCCCTTGAGGACAAGCGGGATCCTAACCTCCCCTCTGGGGGTGCTTCCCGGGCCTTGTGCTCAACGACTGAGCAAGGATCCCCCCGTTTGACCCCTGCCACCGCCCTGACCGACGGGCATCGCCCTCCTGGCTTTAGGGGTGAAGAGCCCGAGGTCCGGAGAGACCGAATCTCCACTCCGCGGCGCACGGAGCCCTGGGGAGGGCTCGGGGGGGGGGGGGCTGGGGAGGTGTGAGCCCTAATCACTGCAAGCCTCAGCCTTGAGGAAGGCGGGCTGCCCGGGAATCTTGGTCGAGTGTGGCCTCAAGCTCAGCAGGTCTGGGGGCCGGGAGTCTACACTGCGATCGGCCCGCTCTGAGCTCGTGGCACCACGGAGGGCCACGGAGCACCATGGAGGGAGGGCTACGGAGGGCCACGGAGGACCACGGAGGGCCATGGAGGACCATGGAGGACCACGGAGGGCCACGGAGGACCACGAAGGACCACGGAGGGCCACGGAGGGTCGTCCTGTCCCTGGCAGAAGCGCGGCGTGAGAGAGGTGTAGGGAGCGTGACCGGACCGGGGAGAAGGGCACGGCGGGGGCCATGGCAGGTGGCAGGCACTGTCTGTGGGGGGGGGTGTGAGGGGAGCGTGCTTCGGCCCCGTGACTGTGCTGCAAGCATCTGGGGTGGACAAAGCAGTGGCCGCGTCCCGTGCAGCCCTTTCTCAGCCTAGCAGCCGCGCTCTCAGACCCGCGTCAGTGCCACGAGGCCACTCAGCCGCCCGCCATGGAAGACCCTGGTTTCTGGAAGCCGTGCCTGTGAAGCCCCTGCCTCAGGAGGCACAGGGAGCGGCCCCCAGGCCCCCACCCCTGGTGTGGGCAGGTGTGTGGGAAGGCTCGGGCTGACACAGGGCAAGCGTCTCCCCTCTTTGCCCTCCTTGACCCCGTCGCCTGCTCCTAGTGGCTTCTGGGAACCGAGGACACCCGGCAGGGCAAGAGTGACGGCGACGTGAATTCTGGCAGTGGGGGGGGCGGCTGCAGGCGGGCCCCAGGAGGATTCATGGTCTTGCGTCCTGTGGGTGGACACACCGAGCCGCTGGGGCCTGGGGAGGCAGGGGCGGCCCTGAGGCTGTCCCACAGGATCTTGGGTTCTTTTTCAGATCCCTCCTGGCCTGAAGTTCCACAGGCCCCAGGATCCCAAGAGCAAGCACCCAGGGAACGTCCCTGCCCCCACTGCAGGCCGAGGCCCAGGATTCGACCACCACCCCCGACTCAGTCATCATCCACCTTAAACATCAAAGTAAAACCCAGGCCAAACCAGCAAACCCCGTACATCCTCCGACGCTCACAGCCCCGCGGGGAGGAAAAGCACAGTCTGGCTGCGGCCCCCGGCTCACGTCTCCCCGCAGCCTGGCTGGCACCAAGGAGAGCGTGGCCACCCCGCCCCTGCCGGGTGCGATGGCCCCCGATGAGGGGAACGGCTGGGCTTGGGTGACGTGCTGGCTCTCAGGGTCTGGGGTCGGCGGTCCCGGGCTGGCACCATGGGGGTGGCAGTGCCGTGGCTGAGCTGGGGCGTGGCTGCCCCCGCTGAGGCCGTGATGCTCTTGCTCTTTGTTAGGAGAACGGAGCGTGAACGTCTCCACCGATTGGACGACGGCTGAATAGCCGTCAGGCGGCTGGTCTGGAAGTCGTTCACGCCACCAGCGACCTAGCTGGCATGCCATCCCACAGCCTCGTGCTGTTGCCCAGGCGGCCCTGGCCACAAGAGAACAGTGGCAGGCGATCCCCGTGGGCTATAGTGTGAACCCTGAACCTCTGCTCGCTCCACGTGGCCTTCAGGGTGCCAAGTCCCCCAGCTCCGGACCACTAACCGTGATGTCCATCCCAGCCACGGGGGACTAGCTCATGGTTCCGGGACACCCCCCTTCTCGTCAGCACCTGTCGCCCCACTCAGTGCACCTGTCCACCCCCTGCTCCAAAGGCACCTGCCCCATTCCTAAGTAGTCGTGCAGATGCCCTCCTCCAGGGGGCTTTCCTGGTCCCGTGCGGGGAGGCGTGCTCCCCGTCTCTGGGCCTCGCGCGACCGGCCCCGCGCCATGGTCAGCATCGTCCACAGCGGCCCTTCTCACTCCCTTGGCACCCAGGCCGTCAGGCTCGGTGCCTTGGCCGATGCCCACAGACGCTGAGCACCAGATGCAGAAATCTGTCCCGTTTACTTCAGGGGGCTTTATGCAGATCCCCGGCCCAGGGCTGCTCAGGGCGCTCGTGCAGGGGCCGGGGTATTGGGAGACACCAGGCAGGCTGGAAGCTAAGGAGGGCCTTGGGGGTGGGGGGGCAGCGGGAGGGCTGAAGGCAGGCGGCCGCGAGCCCGGCAGCTCTGACCGGTTGGCCCAGGTTCTCTGCCAACTGCAGGACGCACACGGCCTAGGACGTGTCTCCCTCTGGCAGCCCGAGGCCCCCACCTGCCCCTGGGCCTTGGAAGTCCCACTAAAGGTCAGCTAAATATAGGAAGGATGTCCTGACATGAGCAGAGCCTGCACCTGCCCACCCCCCTCCCCCCCCCCGCCTGGCCTGGCCATGGCCCTACACTCAGTGCGGGAGCCAGGGAGGGGTGTGGGGCCCAGGCACAGCAGGCTGGCGCAGCCTGGGGTGCAGCTCCTGGTGGGCAGAGGGGATCTCTCCGCGGCCAGCCCTCCGGTGGGTGGCCTGGTCCCTGGAGGCACAGAGGAAGCCCAGGCCCCGGTGAGGGGAGGGGAGCCACGGGGGCAGCTGGGGGGCCCTGGGGGACGGACCTTGGCATCTGCCTTTATTTCCAGCCTGTGGTTCCCTCAATCAGGGGTGGGCTGAGGGGTGGACGGGGGCAGGGAGGACAGGACCTGGCAGCTGGAACCCTCCTCAGTGCTCAGGGCGAGTAGGGGGCCTTCCACACCTGCCTGCCCGTCTCCTAGCTCCCCTCCTCTGAGTCCCGTCCGGGGCCCACCTAGGCCCCAGCAGTTCCCCCGTGAGCTCTTTAGTCAGGGTGGGGGGGCTTCTCTGGCTTCCTGGACCCACCCGGGCTGGGTGTGACTCCTCGTGGGGGAGCTCTGACCTGGGGGAGGACGGGCTCACCTGCTGCTTGCACCTGGCTGTGGGAGGGCAGGCCGGGGCATTCTAGAACCACCCCCAGCCCCACCGCCCATGGAGGGCCCTGGGGTCGGGACGTCAGCAGCGGGAGGCGCTGCTCTGGGCCCGCCCCGCCCCGGGGAACACGCCGTGCCCCTGTCCTGGTGGTGCCTGGCCTCGCCCGCCTCGGGGAGCCCTCGCCCCTTAAGCAGGGCGCGCACGGGCACAGCAAGACGGGGGCCGGTTCGGTTCACTTTAAATCCTCTTTATTTCAGAACAGGCCTGCATCTATGTACAGGGGGGAGCACTAGAGACACAGCACACAGCGCGGAGGAGCACGGCCAGCGTCACTGCGGCCTGCGGGGCCTCGGCCGCCTGCCCCGGGGACGCATGCCCTCTGCAGAGCCTGCTCCGGCCGCCCGGGCCACTCCGTGGGCTTATTCTGGGACGGCCCGGGCCAGAGCGCCTCTCCCCGGGGTGAGGACGCTGGCACTAGGCCAGGGGCACGTCCCGCTTCCCCTGGGTCTGGGCTACTTGGCAGCAAGCCCTGCCCCGACCTCTGATCTATGGCGAAGGGCCTGGGCAGGGGGCAGAGGCGCAGGGCTGTGAGGGGTGCCGAGGGGTGCGGCCAGGCGGGGCGG